GGCCGGCCGCCGTGTCGGGGGGCGCTAAAAGCGCTCTTAAAAGCTGGGGAGTTAAGGAGCTGCCGGTTCGGAGCGTTACTTGGGGAGGCAGGCTGCAAGGCCCGAATCGGGCTTTGCTGAAGCGGGGGGAGAGGAGCGAGTCGGAATTTGCGCCTACTCGAGGTAGAGCCTTCCCTCTCCCCCTCTCTTTTGTTTCGCAAAAGCGTTAGATTTCTCCTAACACTCTGCTTCCCGTGAGGTTTGTAGGCAAAAAGGCACCAGTTTCTTAAATATAAGTGTGAGAAAGTACAGGCCCTGTGATGTGCGAAGGTTTTAAGTTTGCCATTGAAAAACCTCAAGGCCTCAAAACCTTCCTTCCCCCCCTCCCCCCCTTTTTTTTTAAATCGATTTCCCCGATGGAAGAATTCGGTACCTAAGCCTTATGTGCCAACAGAGGAGGAAAGGCGACTCCTCAAGGAATGCGGCGAGGAGAGTGCCCGATACAGAGGTAAGTTCAGTTTGCTGGTAAACTTATTTTGCCTTTCTTCTACCCTTAGCTCTTGTTGCTCTGTGAGGGACTGAAGAAGGAAGACACAGGTCAGCGTATCAGGACAGCGCAGTAAGGAATTTCACGTGATCTAAAGTTGCATCCTACTACAGGCTGATGCGTGCAGAATTTACGTTTCTTAAAAACTTGCAAGACACATGAATCATGTAAAAGAGACAGTGTACTTGGTGAGGCTTATACTTTATAACAAGGCCCCTTCACGTTTTGAGCTAATAGGTCTGTTAACAAGCTGAAAATAGGTACAGCTAGCCTGGCTATAACAGTGTAGATAACTTGTATTGTATTGTAATGTGATTGTATATCTTAACATTTGGTTTCCTGTATTCCTGTATTTTTGATTTTCAAATTGTGATGTAATCTTCAGGATTCATGAATAGAAGATAGTTTAGCTTAGTACCCTTGCTTTCCATCTTTCTGGAGACTGGTCAAGAGAACGCTGTGTGATGTACTCACGCAGCTCACCTTTTTGAGGGAAATCTTTGCCTCCGTGACTGGCCAGGCATTTAGGGGTTTGTGCTAAAACAACAGTCAAGATTCTCGGACGTGATCCTGCAGTCGGCAGTGATTTCCGTACTACTACTACGGCTAAACGTGCAAGGCTAATAAACAGAGAGTGTTTTCACAGAATAGCGCGTGTCCCAGCTTTGTTCTTTTAAAAACCAAGATTGGAGTCTTTCTTTTTTTTACAAAACGTTGAGCGCTCGAGAATTAATTACAACATGTAAGTTTGTTTCTCTAACCCCGAAGTTCAAGACAGGTATGTTTTGTGTACGCGTGGTTACGAGGTTTGTTCAAGCTTTCTGATGTGACTGCTATCCGCTGTTTTATCGTGTGCTAGTAGATTCCCCCTGATGCTGGTAGGTGGCTTAGCAGAAACTGGGACAGATGAAGGATTTGGCAGCTGATTTGCTAAACTTAGCACATGGGTACTCTGATTTCTACTGGCAACCGGTAGTTTAGGAGGCAGCTTCTAAGGCAGTGTGATTTTGAACCAGCGATTCAGAGTTGGCTGGTATCTGCTTTAATTTTGACCTGTTGCACGTGGGCGTTCTCTGCCGCTTGTCTTCTGGAACACGCGGAAACCTTCGGCTTGTTTGGCAAAACCGAAGTGCAGAGAATCAGGATCATTAGCAGTAAGAGAACAATTGGTTCCGGTTTAATGGTGATCTCCTTCGTGGAGGACAAGAGGGGAGGGGGCTGTTTGTTTTTCTTGCGGTGTTTTGCTGTGAATTCTAGATTGCCAGGGAAACTGATGGCAGTGTTCATCTTTGTACAGAGACTGAAGAAACACCGTGAAGGTCGTCTTGTTTAGAAGCCCTGGATTAGTTTCTTCAGCAATTTCACTTGAATTTCATTTTAGGGAGCTGCAAGAAGAAGAAGAACTGGTATTTGTTTTCAGGAGCTGTGTACTGTACTGTTGTCTCACTGATAGAGCCAAAGGCTCTTCACTGTTTTCTAGGCCTGCTGTCTTTGCTTCCTAGGTTTGCGTGACGTGCACCTATACTGTTGTGCTGACTGTATTAAACACGTATCACTTAAACTCTCCTTCCCCAGCAGTACGGGCCGCCTGTGTGGCTGCCCTGACACCGTTAGTTCTTATTGTGCCAATGTTTGTTGTTCACAGATGTTGTTATAATTTTGTGTGTTTTCATCTTGTTTATACAGATCTCAAGCCGTAACCAATGTGTTCTTGCAAGCCCTGTCTGTTTTGTGATGGCTTTCTGTTGACAGCTCCTGTGTCAGAAGTTCTGGATGGTCATTTCTTAATTGATTTGAATATATGCTTTATTGATATGACTATAGTGCAAGTGCGTTATTGTGTAACGTGTAAACTCTAATACCTTAAAAATGTAAGTTACAGCTATAATTTAATTTGATTGCCCTTGTAATCTCATTAACAAGTAAAATCAAGTTGCACTGGCATGACTTTTTCCCCATAAAACCATGTTGACTCGGATTAATTACATTCCAGCCCTTCATTATCAGCCTTCCATTGTTTTTCCGGAAGCAGACAATGTCCCTTTTGCCCATAGCAGTGAAAAGCGTTAATATTCCCTGATTTCTTAAGCTGCTTTTGTCCGTTTTCTATGCTTTGTAATTATTTATAGTGATTTTTTGGTATAACCCCATCTTCGTTTTCCTATTGCTTTTTTTTTTTTTTTTTCATTTCTAATTCCTATTTAATGTAACTTTTATGCCCAGGTTGTATCACCTGTTTCCGCTGTGGTGTGTAACCCATCTTGGAAGTCCAGAATATTTGTGCTGGGCCTATAAATCGCTTGTAAGCTCAGAGATTTTAGGAGAGAATAATATTGATGTTATTGCTTTCATGTAACTCCCAGTGTACATTTTGAAGTCCTCTGTAGTAATTTTGCTGGATGTTTTTGAAATAGCTTGCTTCTCCTTTTTTCCTGATTTGTCTTACCCTTTGGCTTGAAATACGCAGTGCCGTTCTATATCTCAGGAAATCTAGGTCTAGAATCTCTGAACCTAATCTAGGTGTTAGTCTTTAGTAGATTGGAAGATTGTGCTCTCTGTTTTGAAGTATTACTATGCTCTGGGTTGCGAACCAAGGAGCCAGGACTTCTTGTTGAAGGTGACGTGCGGTCATGTTTGCCTCAGCGTGCAGCAGCTGGACTCCTCATCTAGTGTAGCCCTGTTGGAATTTGTGGAAGAAAAAACCAGCTTGTTAGTTTGCAAAGCATATTTTCATACCGTGTGTTGCGGAAATTCTAAAAATATCATTTAGCCTGAAATAGGGACTTAATCTAGCAGATTGTGGGCATCAAAACGCTATAAACATCTAGGGGTGTTTCCAACGTTTTCTCCCCTAAATAAAGTTAATAAAGTCATTGAGCCTTTTTGTAACAGCTACATATTCTGTCCTGCTTGAGATGTAGTTTAGTTCTGACGTGTTTAAATCTTTAATGTAATTAGCTTTAGCCTTCTATCGTGTTCATCGCTGCAGTGTTACTGGGTCTTGTGTAGGCATGGTGGTCTTATGAGAGTAGTTTCAAAGAAATTTAGTCTTCCCGATAGCGTAACGACCATTGCTTGAAGTAAGCCTCCCATATGCTTCCTGCTGTCTTCTCAAATGCTTCCTGCCATCCGAAGTCATTCAACGTGATAAAAACCGACCGACCCGACCCAAACAGTTAAGCAAATTGTGATAGGCAGTACCTTTGTTCCAGGCTCGTGTTTTCCTCCCGGTTCCTTACCCCCTGGTTTGTACAGTTTGAGCTGTAAGCTATAGAAAAACCTGCCCTGCTCTGGATTTTGCTGGTAAATAGAGCTGTTCAGGTTACCTAATTTTAGTCAATTTATGTTTTATCTTTTTAAGAGGTAGAATGATTCAGAAGTTCTTAGATTACAACAAAATCAAGCCTTTCGGTTATCAAAACATTTTAGAGTCACTGGCTTCTACGTTAGCCTCTTCCATCCAAAAGAAAGGTATATGATTCTCAGGTGTGAAGTTCTGTATCTTTATGCTGTAGTAGTTGTAGCTAGAAGTCGACTTCACCTGGAATCCTATGGTAAGAGCTTTTATCTCCTTGGCTGTTGGCTTTCATGTGTTAGGAAGCGTGAAGTCGAATGAAGACTGGATGACTCGTCCGCCAGTACTGCTTAATGTGTAGTAGATGTCAGAAGCTGGAATGGAGAATGTTTCATAACTTATACAGTTTATTACACGCACACACACGCACATGTACTTGTACAAATGGTCTTTGTAAGACCTAGCAACTTGCATATTTAATTTCATGTTTAGTTAAATATGGTTGAAAAGACTGAAAATTTTGTTTTTAAGCTACTTTTTTTTTTCTTCTTCACAGCTTTTCCTTTGGCTGCAGCGAGCATGCTTGCCACTAGTCTCTTGATTAGGAAAGGTAAAGTTTAAAAATACTGTAATTTGGACTCAAAGCAAAACATATATTATTATAGAAGCGTTATTCAGAGCCAAAAGAATGCCTAATCTCCTAGTAATTAAGAGAAATTGAGACTTCTCATCTACCTGACTTGTAGTTCCTGAAGCTAAAGGAGGAGTAAAACTTTAAATTAAAATCAAAAGTCTTGTTCATTTTATGTTGTTTGACGAACGGAATATCGCAGAGATTATGAAACGATATATGCTACAGCATGTGATAGTCATACTGTGTGTGTTAGGATTAAAGAGGTAGTTCTTAGATTTTTCTAAGGTTATGGGAAAGTTAGGTTTTGTGAATTTGCTTTACAACGTAGAAGAGTAAGCTACTACCCCAGTGCTATGCAAAAGATCTGACATTGTGTATTCATATGGCGAGTCAATGTTCCTTCAGCTTAATTGCTAATGCCTTATTACTAATTACTTTGATTTCTCGTTTTCAGGTGTTCTAAGAGATAATTCGAGATTTGGCTCTCTTACTAAAGTTGCATGTAAGTAAAAGGTATATATTAGTTCATACTGCATTTGTGATTTAGGTTCTGGAATCTATTACGCAAATACAATTCCCATGAAACTAGTTGGCTAGTTCATTGTGATCAGAGTCTGTCCTTATATTGCTGCAACTGTGTTTGTGTGTAGAACGATAGGATGTGATATATTCAGAATAAATTTTGCCTTCTTGATGTTGATTCTCTCTAAATAGGATCAACTCTGATAGTCAGCAACTTGTTCTTTATCTGTGTATGTTAAGTACCACATCTCAAGTTGCAACAACCTATGCCATGTCAAGAGGTGGAGCATGTTATGCATTCAGCTTCTTGGAATTTTGCAAGAGAGTTTGCCAAGTTTTGTTCATAGGCTTTGTATAAAATGGGAAGATTTGAAATATTCTTGACGTTCTCGACATAGTCTTGAAATATTGAAATATTCTTGACACCGGTAACGTAAGAATTTAAGATAAGAACGTTATAAATAGGTACTGTGAAAGTTTCCTCCCCCCGCCCCCTCCCCCCTTCATAACAGTCTGCCAAGGAAAATTATTTTTGTGTGAAACTAAGTATTGTCAGAAATAGAATGACACTCGTTGGGAGTGTTGTAACTTACTGGTATTGAGGCGTCTTCTCAGTTTCTTATAACTGAAAATGAGTAAAGGAAAATGCTGCTTTACTGTGTCTTCTATATTATCCTCTGCTGTGTAAAACCTGTGTTGTAGGAGGGAAGAAACATATACAATATGTTATAACGATGCTTTCTTTTTTTCTCGGTAGTTTCTGAACTGTAAACATCGGTGATTTGTGAGGCTGCTGTCTGAAACTAATACTTGCTTTTGAAGTGATTATATTTTCAGTTGACAGGATCTGTTTAACATTTCTGTTTGCTCTGGCTTACCTAATTTCTCACCGCTGTTTAAAAGTTTGTAAGTCAGAATGCTGTCTCCTAAAATACTAGAACAGCGTGCTTGCTGCTGCAGTGGAGTCTGCCTAAAGGACTTTGCAGAGCACACCCACCCCTCCCTCCCTAATCTGAAGGTCATTATTCATGTTGTCCCATTGAGGCTATTTTAGTGTCTTTTTTTCCTGGATACTGTGCATGCACAATTATAGGGAAACTGCAATGTCATGAGGAGGATTTTGGGTTCAGTATAATCAAAAAATAAATTGACCTGTCCAGTGTAATACATGCTAGTAAAACGGGAAGTTGCCGTCTTGCCAATCTGCCCAGATAGAGCCAGATTCTGTTACAGTTTGCTTCAGAGGGAGGAGGGTAAAACCCATGGTTTGTGGTGAAGGAAGTGCTGTTTAAGCAGATAAGCGGCAACTGGACCAGACAAACCATTCTTGCTGTCAGGGTTATAGGCAGTACAACCCCAATCCCTTATGGTCTCTCCCTTTCGATGTACACTGGTGGGCATATGCTCTTTCATTTTGTACTAAAAGAGCTTTCCCCAAAGTGTTTGTTGAGGTGGTTTTTCGGTCGGTAGCTTCATGTGATTTGTGAACAGTTTCAGTATGGGAATTTTTCTGGGACATAAGTTTTAAACTGGAGTCTAAAAGACCCTGAGTTAAGCAGTTTTAGTTTCATCCTCATGTTGTTTAGGTCACACGCACTTACTGTCTGAAGTATCTTCCTGAAAACTGTTGCCCGGAACGTAGTTTACAGATC